TATAAGCTGTATCAAAAAGGAAAGTCTTAAGTCTACTCTTAAAGGTAGAGAGGGTGTCCACCTCTTGAACTCTAAAGGCTAAAGGCTCTGCCTCCCATTCCAGGTTATCAATAATACTTCAGGATCATTGTATAATTAGTTCTGCCACAGTTAGTGCCATTTTTCATTGATTTTTTTCGGCATTATTCCATTCCTCCTTTGAAACGTTAAGCGGCAACTATGTGACCTCTTCCCAAATGAGTTCTTTTAATAATGATTACAGTAAAGAAATGTAACAAAATTACGTTTCTTTATACACACTGATCTAATGTATGACAGAAGCGTCTTTTCCTCAGCAGGAGATTATGATCCATGAGGGTGAAGGAGAAAAAAAAAGAACCTGTGATTCATAACAAATTACAAAAGCTGGAGGTTCACAATCATTTGTACCTGTATTGTTTTGCAAATTGCTTCCTTCATCAGCTCTAATTGCAGTGATCACTTATGTAGTGTTGTGAACTGTCACATTGGCTGCATGTAATTACATTTAGGATAACGCTTCATTGCCCTTCTAATGAATTCTCTGTATACGCACATACAGGTTACTGTTTGGTTAACATAATGAAGGACATTCGTTTCTGGAGGGCAGAATACCTAGGAGACATAATTGGTTGTGACCAGAGTAATAGAAGTTCTCAGAGAAATGCATTAGGAGTTGTGCAGGGTACAGCACCCCAAGAATGGATTTTTTTTTGTCTGCATGAAATAAAGCTAAATTATAGGTTGTGTGTTCATAGAAGAAATGTAAAAAAAAAAAACAGAATGAACATTTTTTTCAAATAACAGTGCAACAAAAGATTTCAATAATTGGAGACATTGTACAGTAATTTAGCATCCCTGTCTGACAATAATGCCACTGCAAACACCATTATCATTAAAAACTTACACAGCTTAAGAAAGCAGAAGTAAAAAAACAAATTCAGTTTTATTAATATCAATAAAACCATGAACAAAATATAAATTATATTTAAAAATGGTGTTAAAAGTACTTTGGTGTTGGCCTCTAAGTAATGGCAACCATGGTTAGAAACACATTAGAGACTAAATGAAACTAATGGTGTGGTCTCACCCACTCTGTTGATAGCACCACAGCTGAAATTAGTTCCGAACAAATACAATGTTTTTGTGTTTGAGTAGTGTTTGCTAAAACTACAGTGCCCAGCTACTTAAGGAAATAATGTAGCCTTCTAAAATTGAAACAATAAATTTGTAATGTTTTCACAGATTTATGTCCCAACAAACACATTGTTGATTTTAATGTCTTCACAGATTTTGCTGACAATAAGAAAAATATAGAATAACATCAGCTGTAACATCCTTTAAACAGGGAAGACCCACTGTATCCATAACTATGAAAACTACGGTGTGGACAGTCATTCCAAAGAAATATACATGGCACAGGTCAGGGTTTGATCAGCTGTGCAATTCCCTCTCAGAAAAAGAAGTTAAACTGGACCTTCTATCACCATAAAAGCAATAGGATATATAATGCTCAAGAGAAATCATCCACATAAAGAAAACTCTTCTGCAACATGCAGTCAGGATGTGGGTACTGCGACACAATGAGAAAGTGGCAGTGGTAAAGATTATGCAGGCCCTTCATGATATACCACAATATGTTATGAGAAACTTCATTTGAACAGTAACAGTGAGTCATCTGCTGCAGGTTCAGTCAGTACTGAGGTACACTCAATCAAAGCTGAATAATTTCTATGTAACATGGTATAACATGCTAAAATACAGTTCCTGGTAGTGCTACATTATGTTGGTAAGTCTGTGTCCCTCCTATGTGTGTGTGTGTGTGTGTGTGTGTGTGTGTCCATCCATGTTCATATGTTTATGTCTCATGAAAACAATGAGACTAATCAGCAGAATCAATACAATCTGCCCTGTTACTACCTCTTTAAAAATCTGGAGACTATCTTCTGACTGAAAACAAAACCTAACTGGAACATGGCTGACTGAGGCTTCTGTGGTTACAGTGAGTCAAAAAGAAAAATCTGCTGGAGTTTTCTACAAACACAGGACTTATAACTCAAAGCCCACCCCCCCCCACCCCAAACGCTCTGGACAGCCCCACTCTCAGCTCATCACAGTGAAATCTCCAACACAAACTGCAGAACAGTGATATGTACAGTGTAGTGTGGTTTTCCATTTTGGTGGCATTCTATAGTGTGGTGGTGCTGTTCAGACTGGGTGTCTTCACCACCTGGGAGGAGAAGCTGTTTTCATGTCTGTCTGCCTGTCTGTCTGTCATTCTTCTAAATGACAGTGCTTGATGGGGCCAGAATGAGGGAGGTGGATCATGATCTTTTGATGACACTTCTTGTACTGATCTGAACTTGCTAAGGAAGGTGTGCAGATATATCTGGTATCCCACAATGACAAGATACCTTGCTGCAGTTTGGTTCTGTGCTGTGCAGTTGGTGATTCAACCCAGACAGTCTCTGTGAAAGTGGGGAATGAGGCAATTGATGGCATCCCATTTAGTTAGTTAGGGTGAATTTCTTCAGCTCCTAGACTAACTCTTCATAGTCTTTATGTGAGAGTGACTCCATAACTCTCAAAGGAAAACAACTGCATCAAAGACACATGAATATCCCAGAAGCTGATATGACATCTAACAATGCAGTATTTGGACAAGTGAAGATAAACAGGGGTTGCAGGCAGTACACATAACATCTGAAATGCATTGTAGCTGATAGTAAAGAGCAGCTCAAACAGATGAGAATGTGTGTGCACATCCATACAACATGAGGCTGATCATCTGAAGCTCTCTTTCGGAAGGAAACGATGCCATGTGCTCTGGACCAAAAACAAAAAAAGCCAGGGTCTGTCATGGTCTGGGGTTGTGTCAGTGCCTTGGCAAAGGTAACTTGCACTTCTGTGATGGCACCATTAATGCTGAAAAATACACAGTGCTTGGAGCAACATATGCTACCTTCAAGACAACATCTTTTCCAGGGACAACAGCTTCAGTGACCAGAGGAACAAGGAGGCGGAGGTTAGACTGACAGATGAACACATGAATCCATCCTTGAATTTTATTCTGGGGGGCATTTGCAGCAATATGTGTTATAATGCTTGAAGGAGGATGATTTACTGATGCAAAACTTTTAGTTCAGCATGAAAATCAAGCTAAACAAAATTTCTCTTTTGGAAGAAGTGGAAAGGGGGTATGGCAGCCTCATTGGTTGTTAGTAATTTCCACACTTCCATTTGATCAGAGATAAGAGCCAAATAACTTCTATGCTGATAAATGAGAACAGCTTTGAAAGACGTCAGTGTTTATGGTGTGAATGGTTAATTCAGTTTTAAACTATCTAACCAAATAAACACATCAGGATTTAATGTACAGTATGTTTGTGTGATTTTTACGTTGTTTGCATTATTTTAAAAACATACTCAACTTTTTTATACAACTGTTAAAATAGCCTATTTTAATAATCTCCCAGAAATAAATGGATAAAGTCTGCTATAGTTATATACTAATAAAGCTTGGCATGGAATGCATCAAAGCATCGTTTTGCAGGCAATGCGCTACAACCAAGCGCTGCAGGAGCCAAGCGCAATAAGTAGGGCAGTTGATCCAAAGTGACTCATTTCAGTACCACCTGTTGGTTTGACCGTGACCGAGCTGTTGTCTTGGACTTCCGCTCTCCAAGTGTAGTCGCCAGATCAGTTTCCACAGCGTTAAACTGACAGCAAGGAGACACAACGCGAGTGGCTCCGTGCACAGTACTGTAACGTGCGCTCCGCCTGCAGCTCTGCTAACTTCAACGCTGATTGTGATCGACAGGTAAGCGCAGCCTCCTCCGAACAAACGTGGCACATCTACAACACTTGTAAATAAAGTAAGTAAGTTGTAAGTGCTACGTCTAACGATGTACTTTGTTGTGTGTGTTGCAGAATTACAACAAACTCTTAAAGCTGATCCTACCTTCACTATCATCCCACAGGTGTCATCTTTACTTTCAGGTCAGTGCGACGAGTTTAACATAGTCACGCTAGATAAATGTCCAGTTTGACAAAGTCTGGAGGCAAAACAAGTCAAATCTAGTAATTATTCTTTTCATCGTCTTTCTTATGGTTACCTGTGGCTGATTTTTATCATGTATTTTTTCTTATAAATCTTGAAACCATATGCAAAAATGTGGCATACTACGGTGCTCTTTGCTGATGCCTAAATAACGAGGAGCGGGAGAAGCATTCACATCCAAATTAAATCTAATTACAAGTAAAATCTTATCTGTGTAAGTATTATCAGCAAAATGCAATTTAGGGTTAAAGGTAAAACTGCATGGCCCCTTTCATTTTTATCACTTTGCTAATTATTAATAGTGACGCATTAACACAAAACAACAATGTTGCTGCGGGAGGAGGCTATTGTTGTTTACTTTTATTTATCAGTGCATCATTCAAGTTATCATTACAGTTACAGCGCTCAAACAAACAGGACAGGGGATTGGCAATAATGGCGAAGGAAAAAGTTAAATATTTCCACCAAGCAGGCCTGAAAATAAAAGTAGGCCTGGCAGTTAATAATTTACATCCACTGCGATTAGGCTGTAGCTGAATTTATAGGGTTAACCTAGATGGATAGATAGATAGATAGATAGATAGATAGATAGATAGATAGATAGATAGATAGATAGATAGATAAAATTGTGTTTCTAAAATTTAGCTAATAAATACTGTCCTGGGTGAAACGTTGATTCCCCCCCATAGTGCCATGTCCACCCCCACTACACGTGACGGTTCTGGGGCCGCTGCATCCTGCCGGCCCTCCTCCTCGGTCGACAGCAGCAGCTACATGGAGTCCGATCCTGACCGTGGACTGCTGTTCCCGGTGGTAAGGCCCTCCGTGGTGACTCGACGTGTCCTGCGTTTACGGGCCTCCAGCAGCTACGAGAGCCCCGTTACACGCCGCAAGAGGAAGATGATCCCCGCAGACAGGAAGGATTCCGCCTACTGGGAAAAACGACACAAGAACAACGAGGCGGCCAAGCGGTCAAGGGAGAAACGGAGGCTGAATGACCTGATGCTGGAGGACCGGCTACTGGCCGTGAGTGAGGAGAACGTACAGCTACGGGCGCAAGTGCTCAGCCTGCAGTATCACATCAGTCTCCGTGAAGAAAAGAGCAAAGCTGCCAGGGCTTGTGCAACATCTACACCGCCTTTTGTAGCTTCTTCTACCCTGTCCTCACCTAGACCGGTCCATAGCCCTGCCCTTTGCCAGACAGGGCTGTGGGGCAACAGCAAGATCAACCCAGCTTCTATCCTAGGTGTGAGGGATCAAGGGACAGTCAGCCCCCCTTTTGAGGTCAAGATCCCGTGGTTTGGCTCAACTAGATGCGCTGGTGGTTTTAATCCACAAAGTCCTCAGAACTGTGGCACACAGAAAAGCATCCTCCCTCTCTCCGGGCTCTGTGTCCTCACTCCCCGAGCAACTTTAGAGGGCGGGAGGTCAGCGGAGGGAGAGATGGATGTCCTGCGACAAATCTCCTCCAGCGATGACATCCCTATCTCCACCTCTAGGCCTATCCGAGCATTACTGCAGCCACCTGACGCGCTCCATCATGCCTCCACCCTGCCGTATCCAGCTCAGAGTTGGCTGGTGCCTCATTTGAATCACTCAGCAGTGTGTAACAATCTTCTTCTGCCTTGGCGATCCTCCTGCCTGGCACCATCGGCCGTCTACCCCGGCCTGCCTCTGTACATGCAGGAGAGAAAGGGTCAAGATCTCGGTGTGGAGGCAGACACTGAGAGGATCTTCAAGAGCCAGTTCAGCAGTGTACCCCCGGGCCCGCCTCAGCAAGAGATGCACCTCGGTCCTGACAGATGCTAAGAGGACTGCTTGAGTCGCGAGAAAAACAAGCTGCATTCATGCCTTAAATGCACTTACAGCTATGAATATTTTTGATTAGCAATGAATACAGAGACTTTACAATTTGAATCTACTCCCCGCCTTCCAATTTGTTATTTGGCCATAATAGAAACAGAAAGAATACTTATAGAAGGACATCTTACAGTGTGGATTTACTGGCTGATGTTGTGGTTTTAAAGGGTTCTTTTAATATAAAATAGATGTTAGACTGCACGCCTGAAAAAGTGTCGTCAGAAATCCACCAAACATTTAGATTACGTCCACTTTCATCTCATGTCTTGCTTTGTCTTGATTTATTGGAGAGGAGTTTGATTCTAGGTTGACTGGTGGATTTGAGGAGTTGTTTATCTGTGGTAGCGCCTGAGCCAACGAAACTGGCAGTTTGTTGGCTTGGTATTTCCCTGCGTGATTTCCCAGCAGGTTCAATGGAAATCCAAACGTTGAATGTTGTTTATACGGGTAATAGCCCCATGCAACTTCATCTTGCATTGCATATGGTTGCATGTGGTGCTCATTTTTGTTCAAGTCTGGAGTATTAAGAAAAAACAACGAAATGTCTCCACTCGGTTGATCGTTACTAAAAACCTGTGGGGTATTTTCCACCCTTTATGAAAATTCCAATATGTTATATCTCTCGTTGTTATTTAGCAAAGGTTTGGAAAATAAGAGACCAAGGTGTAGTATTTTAATTGTCATTCAAAACGCATTTAGAAAGACTTATTAGAAAGACCACGGTGATACAAAACTAAATAATCTCCATCCTATTTATTATTTATTCTTGCAGCTTATGTTAATTGAGGGTTATTCATGAGGGTGCAACCAGCTACACTGGTGTAGGTCTATATGACAGTCAAACCCGTGGCTGAACCGTTTAAGATTTTCTTCTGCACGCACCACTGGGAAAGTGCATCTAGAAAGTTTGTTCTTTTTTCACCAGCACTAAATTAAATCAAACTGTGATGCAGGGTGGTGAAATATGACAAGCCAGTCACATTTAGCTGCTCGTGTGGTACCTACGTTAGGATTAGGCTTTGTTACGCTATACTTCTAACAAAAGAGTTCTTCAAAACCGGTTTATTGATCTGATTTAATCTTTGACAAGTCGCTGGCATCCCAAGTTATCAATCTCACACAGCAGCATGTTCCATAAAACAACAGCAGAGGGCGCTACAACACAAATAGTGCAGCAGGTGTGGATTCATGCAGCTCAAACCAGCAGGCTTTTGTTTCCTTATTAAAATACCTGTTTTAAATAAATTCTGCCTCTACAAAGTGCATGTATTTTCTAGCAGGTTTGGGAAGACAAACTAACAACTATCAAAGCGAAATACAGTAAACCTTGTTTTATTTACACTGATTTGAAAGTAAAGAAAACATGGGAGTTGGAAAACATCATGAGCATTAACAAAAACCACTGAATATTAGTAAACCTATTAGAAATTAAGTAATCCCTTTTCAAAAAAGGCACTGAAGTCTAAGAATTCTAAAGCTTATTAACATTTTGCATGTTTTGTGCAAAAGCATTTGTAAAGGAGCATAGCTCGAACTGCTTTTAATAAATTTAAACCAAAATTTAATTAAATGTCTTCTATTTGAGGAACTCTGCAATGAAATATAAGAAGTGTCAGGAATATTTAGTCAGATTCCATGCCTTATCTTAATTTGGACATGAATATGAACATGAAACAATTGTGTCATATTGGTGGTTGCAAAATGTCAGGCCACTCAATTATCACTTCTGGGTCATGCAGTTCCAAATATTTTCTTATTTAGTGTCAGATTATGTTAAATTTAACTGTTTGTTTAATATATTTTCCAATTTTGACAATGGGACTTGTAACAGTTTTATCCATCCCATGGACACAAGAGATATTTAGATTTGTCTAAACATAACAGATGTTCAGCCTAAATACTAGAGCTTAAATGTATTCCTGATTAAACTGTATCTTCTGGGCTATATCACATCAGTAAAGTATTATCATAGACCTCTGGTGCATCTTGATTGATATTAACAGTTAAAGCGCATCACACAGGAAGCAAAAATCATACTTTAGTACGTGTGACAATGTCTAAATATATAAACTGGTTTGAGGTGCTATTTCCACTTGTAGCAAAAACATGTTTTATCATTCTGAGAACAATTTTTCTTACTATATTGTATAACAACCAGGCAAAGTGCATTGGAAAAAGCAACTTAATGAAAGGATTTTAAAAGTGCAAACACATAGTTGAGACTGACCAGTGTCGAACATTTCTCTTTTTCTCTGTGAATCTTAGGTCAGTCAGTTTAGTTCAGTCCTTTCACTTACTGTAGATTTACTGCAGCCACCTGAAGGGAGCAGAACTGGTGATATCTTTTGTCTGGTTGTGGTGGCCAAGTCCTTTATACAACTACTGCTTCTACTAATACAAATACTACATTTACTTTTTTCTGGGAAGAGGCAGGTAAGCATCTGAAATGTAAGAAGTCTGTGTGAATAAAACATGCAATTGAATACTACACAACACACACATCTACAGTACAGCAGCACGCTGCAAAGACAAATGGCATGGATTTACTTAAAAGATTATTTAAAGTGGCAGCATTATATTCTAGAACTTTATATGTATGCTCTGGTACAATGTTAGCATGCAACACACCAAATGTGTCTAAAACTGAGAGCAGCATTGTACAGGGGAGACCCCTGCTTGGGCAAGCCACTAACATCACAACACATCAAGATCAAGGGGGGGGGGGACAACACAATAAGTGAGAGAAAGAAAAAAAAGGTAGAGCTGAAACCAACAAGTCACTATGATGAATCCCACTCTGAAGCCTATCAATCACATGACACAGTCTCACAGGAGTGTTTAGTGCTAAGTTGTCTATTAGTACTAGGAGAGAGTGAGCTGTCTTTAAATTTAAGTTGCTAGCACTTCAGAGGCAGTGGACTTTCTGCACATAACAGTCGAAGGTAAGGCCTTGAGCTATTTTTTTTTTTTCCTCATGTGAAGTGGTTTGGCAGATGTTAACAGCAGATAAATTCAGAGAAGAAAATGAATGAGGTGTTAGAGATCAAATGGTTTTTACACGTATACTGTGAAATAAATGGCAAACTCAGTGAACATTTGGTTGCTGTACCTGCATTCACGTAATGTGTGTGTATAAATACACATATACATATATCAGGGTGTTTACAAAAATGTTACTCTCTGATCTGGCAAGAACTGTTTGAGAAGGAGGAAGTACTACATTTTAAATATCTGCAACATTTACTCACTAAGACAGTTTTGCTCATTTCCGTGATACAAGCTCACCTTACTATAAAATGTTGATAATGTAAAGCTGAAAATAATTAACTGAATTTTCAGCAGTTTAATATAACATGAGGGGCAAAACTCCAGCAACAACTGTAGTGTAACGAAAACCTTTACTGCTGGACCATATCAAATTTATGTCATTTTTGATATCTAATACCAGGTCCTGGCCCAACTGTTCTTTCGACTACAAGTTTTGCTGTAGCTTTTACCTCTTAAAATCAACTTCTCTTCGTCATGCACCTTGACATTGGGTGAAGTTGTGCCAGAAGTCCATACTGTTCTTTGCTCTAAAAGGTTTTATTAATATATATTTATATAATACACAATAATCTTCTATAGCAATTATACAACAATCAGCCGTAACATTATGAAGTGAATAAGACTGATCATCATGTTACAGTGGCACCTGTCAGTGTGTGGGGTATATTAGACAGTGGTTCAGTAGATAAAGCAGTTGTCTCCACCCAGAAGGTTGAAGGTTTGAATCTCAGTGCCGGCAGTCCACATGCCAAAGTGTCCTTGGGCAAGACACTGACGCTGGTCTTCAGTGGTTAGTACCTCCCAACAGTGTCTAAGGAAGGACAAACAGTGACAGGGTCATGGATTAGTTTAGATTAGCATCAATAGAGTCATCACAGAAGTGTAAATTGCCTTTGACACAACTCCTTGACCATGACAGACCCCGGTTCTGGACTTGTTGCTGGTAAATGTCTCGATGGTCCTTTTTCTCTTTGGTCCAGAGCACATGGCGCCTATTCCTTTAAAAACAAAACAAAACAAAAAAAGACCTGAACTACTGATTCATCTAACCACATTTCACGTTTCCACCGTGTGATGGCCCATCCCAGATGCCTCTGAGCTCACAGGAGTCGACTGTTCTTTTGGACACTGTTGACATAGGGCTTCCTTTTGTGGGCATCAGAATTGAAATGCATTTATTTTGGTCAAAGCATAAAGTTGATGAGGTATCACAGCAAATAATGTGCTGCTGTATTGTTTTCAATGTAATACAGGAGACATGATTTACAATTCACTATTTTTAGTTTTAATTTTGATTTTTCATACCATCCAAACCTTTTCTGATTTGGGGTTGTACATTGGTCTCTAAGAAGACAAAGATTTAGCAGCTATAGTGGTGACATCACACCTAGATTGGCTGTTGAATTTGTCTAAAACATTATCTCGAACTTTTTCTCACAACCACAGTTTTCACTCCTTTTCAATGAGTGGTCAGCACATCTGTGCTCTTCCTGACAGTAGAACTATGGAAGCAAACAGATTCACAGAAGATGCACAGTGAGCTGCAGAGTGACACGAGTGTCAACTGCCAAACTAACCCCTGTGTACACAGTATTAGGCAGGTGCTCATAATGCTATGGCTGATTGGTGTAGTTCAATTAGGATGATAGTGTGGTACAGCGTGACTGAAATCTGTGACCTGTGACTGTTTAGATTTACACATGAAATTACTTCTTATCCCAGTAATCCCAAAAAACTCCTAACTGGATATATTCTCAGGACCAAATTCAAAAGTTTGTGTTGCCTTTATTTTATAATAGATATGTGAAAGAATGAGCAAAAAGTCAAAGACACATCTGCACTGTACTGTTAATTAGTAGAGCAGTACTGTACTAATTCCTTTTACAAGGTTAAAATTCAGTTTGTGTTAACACTGTGTCAACACCATGTTTATTTAAACATATAACTGTTAAAGCTGTATTGGGTGGTGTTGCAATGCGGTGCAACATGTTTTGAAAAGTTCTATCCTACATATTTGTGAGATGGATGAACTAAAGCATTCCTGAACATTTTAGGCAAGGTGGTATATATTATTATTGTACTGCGTCATACAGGCGTTTCGTGAAACAGAGTATTATTTATGATATAATTGACTGCACATATGTGTGAAGCCTGAGATTGTGATGAACTGCAAACACCACATCATGTATCTGACTTCTGCTTTTTTATTGCGCTGGCTGCACTAGCCGTATGTGTGCAAACAGAGAAATAAACGTTCTTGTACTGTGTCCACCTGAATTTCCACAACCCTTCTCTTCTAACAGATAAATTCATAACAAGTGCTCTCGACACATACAGTAGATGGTTTTAAATAAATCCAGAGGGTACCATAAAAAAAATAAAAATCCCTTTAATTCAGTATGAAACTATAAAGATCCATTTTTAGAAATGTTGGACATACTCAAACAAAGTAAGTGAACAATATCATCAGTTCAACAGTTCAGCTAAAGTGCTGATGGCATAACACTTTTTCTCTGTAGACAGTGAGAATATGTCACTTGTTTCCTCTTCTGGAAACCTCACATACTATACAGTTTAATTGTCATGCACATTAATCTAAAAAGGGAATAATATGTTTTTATGGTTCCTTCCATTTACAATACACAAAGGGAGAAAGATGGTGCTATGTATTACTAGCGTTACCCTTCGAGGTATATACAGTACATGTTAACGAAAAACTCGAGCCAAAAACCCAGGCAAGTTCTTTAGTCACCTAGGGGGCATTCATTCATTCATTCATTCTAATTTCCCTGCTGGCAGTTTAGAAAAGAAGTGAACATAGTATATTGAGGTATGGACTGACCAATCTTTCCACCTATGGGTAGTTATTTTGGCAAAGGCTGACAGAGTGCACAGAAACCCAACAGCAGATGGTCGACTATGATAAAACCCCACAAAAAAAGAAGTTTGAGAGTTCCTTACTAGAAAGCAGGCTGGCTATGATTAGTCAATAAGAAACAGGTGCAACTGTGCAGCAGCATAGTGAGCAAGCCGGGCCTCAAGAGAGATTTCACTCAGGAACCCGCTCTTTTTTGTTTTTTTCCTCTCTGTGTTCCCCCTATATGATTATTGCCTGCTCCCTTCCTGCTTTTTTTTTTTTTAGTACACAACACTTAGCCTTTGTGTCACACACCGGTATGCATGTTCTCACACAGACATACAAGCACATATGGGCACAAGGTTTAGGTTCTCAGTGGGCAAAGGCTTTTTAACATGATGTGCATTCTCACCACCGCACACTAGGTTCATGGCTTCCTTGAAACTTTTGTTTTGATGCTTCTGCCTCAGTCTGACTGGTATGTTAAAATATATGACTATAATTTCAGTGAATATGTTGAAAAGATGCTTTAAGTGGGGATGAAAGAAAGAAAACATGAGTACCTACAACTAAATAGGACTAAACTGTGAAGTCATGGTTTGTGCAAAAGAGAGTGCTTATGTGTGAAACCCTGAGTGACAGTTTAGTTTGCAGCTCATTTGTGAGGTTCACGTGTAGACTGTATTGTATGATGTCTGGTTAGAAATGAACTACAATGTTGTCTGCAAGATGTAAGGCATGAGGGAAACATCAATGAGTTAAAAGGAGTAAGTGTAAGCTCAATGTGTGAGTACTTTTCTGCATATGACAACACGTATAGAGGGCTGCTGTGGTTTCAACACAATGTACATCCTTCTTGCACAGCTTGCCATGAAACCACCCACAAACCCATGCGAATGAAATAGAATTTAAAAGCTGCCAGCATTCCTTTCAGTCTAGGTGCTACTTAAAATTATCTTCCCATTTGATTTTACCTTTAGCCTTATGCAACAAAATGGACCAATCCGCATTTATGTCCCCCCACAGTGCACAAGAATGAAGTGAAGCAAGTAGATAGAAAAGGGGAAGTGGTGACTAGACGGACATGTCGAGCAAAAGGAAGATGGGGGAGAAAAAACTAGTCAGACTCAAACTAAACTATAAAAACAGGCTGCTTTTTAAATCTGGTCTTTATGTGATTTCTATGACAAGCCCAGTTAACCACCTGTCCACTCAGCTGAACCATAGAGCAACTTTTTGCCCATAGGAAACTTTCTGCAAAACTCAGTTCAGCAATACCAAAAATGCTTTATTCATTTTCACAAGCAATGTTTCATTTAGGTTTATGTTTTGAGTTCAAGCTTACGCCAATCGGCCATAACATTATGACCACTGACAGGTGAAGTGAATAACATTGATTATCTCATTACAACAGCACCTGTCACTGTGTGGGGAATTCTAGGCAACAAGTGAACATTCAGGCCTTGAAGCTGATGTGTTGGAAGCAGAAAAAAAGGCAAGGGTCAGGATGTGAGTGACTTTAACAAGGATCAAACTGTGATGGTGAGATGACTGGGTCAGATCATCTCCCACCCTGCAGGTCTTGGTGGGTGTTGTTGGTCTGCAGTGGTTAGTACCTAGCAACAGTGTCAAATGGTGAACTGGAGAAAAGGTCATGGATGTCCACAGCTCACTGATGATGAGATCAACCTACTGTAGATTAAACTTTTAACTTCCATTTGTACTTTTCAAAAGATTAACATTTATTTGAATCTTTGTTAAAATGGTTGAAAATGAGAAATACTGTCCATTGGTCTCTATGAAGAGAGAGAGTCAGGGGCTGTAGTGGTGATATCACACAGAGTGGTGAGGCTGTTGAATCATATTAGTCTACGTTCTTCATTCCTCTTTGTCTACCTAATGTTTCCAATCATACATTTCTCATGTGGTTTAGACAGGTAGGAGGTGAGGTTGTTTCAAAAAGGGGGGCTTGTCTGGAGGTGGTAGACAGACTGAGATGCAGCTGAGTGCTTTGCAGTAGCCTCTGCAGCTTCTCAAAAGAGAAAAAAAAAACCAAACCAGCCAAGGTGGAACAGGCCTATTGGTCATTTTGTTTGTGGGCCCACTTCCCCAGTCACTAATGCTGTCTTTACACTGCCACAAGGAACTGAACCGTATTCATACCACACTGGGGTTTGCATGTTTTGATTGTCTTAGAAGCAGACTGTCCCTGTGCGCACTATTCAGGCCCCCAACCCGAATGTCTACATCACTATATTCTGAATGGCTTAGAGAAATCAATGAAAATTGAAATACTGCTTCACAGTTTGTCATTTAAGCACTTTCTAATACCAATATTTTTATCAATCTCTGACTGTACTATAGTGAGTGTTTGTTTTTGATCAATAAAAAAAATGGCATTCATGGCTTTATGGCTCCTGATGGAGCCCCTTGGTGAGTAGATATGCATATTTTTACTATCTACAACTAAATCAAGGTAAAGATTCCCAACAAGCAGTACCCCATGACATATGTAATTGTCCTCCCAGTTATTGAGCTAACTGGGAGGACAATTACACATGTAAAAAGATTGTTAGCAGCCATCTCACAGACTCCAGTCATTCAGAAATACTAAGGTGCTTTGAGAAAAGACAAACCAACATAATGTAAGTCGAGGTAAAAGGTAAATCATAAAGTTATCATTACATAAGGAAGTACCTCTATGACTCAGCCTCTTACAAAAGACTAAAAACTTCCCTCTATCTCTCGATTTTAGGTCTCTGTTGGTTGTTACCGATTTCTCATCTACTATGGAGTCCCTGTCCTCTTTTCATGGGGGCCAAGATAGCCATGTTTTACAAGTGGGAAACAAACTGTTACTGAAAGGCCGCCGTCGCAAAAGGGAGTTCATACCTAAGGAGAGGAAGGATGCCCTGTACTGGGAGAAACGTCACAAGAACAACGAGGCAGCCAAACGGTCACGGGAGAAGAAAAAGATGAATGATTTTGCTCTGGAGACTCATCTCATGGCTCTGAAAGAAGAAAATGCCCGGCTTAGTGCGGAATTATTGGCTATCAAGCTCCACTTTGGCCTGGTCCATGCTGCAACATACACTGATCATCAAAGTAGCCAACTGCAACAACGTGTGCACGGCTGCATGCTGCCCGTCTCTGCTCCCAGCACCCAGCACCAGTCCTTGCAGAAGGACTACTACTGGGGCAATAGACACTCATCTCTAATGTCCAGCCAACAAGTTTCTCAACCTCTTCTTGTCCCTACATATGCCCTCCATACCATGACAGGCTATTCATACTTAAACACATCTAGTAATCCTACCCCTGGCCTCCTCTCTCCTCTTGTCGTCCCTCGAAATCTCCTGCCCACCCAATCATACCGTCCAGCAGCTTCTCCACTGAAACCCACCCAATCATACCGTCAAGCAGCTTCTCCACTGAAACCTATTCCTAAGAGAGCCACCTCAGATGAGAAAGAGGAGCAGCAGGTCCCAGGAGTGCTGTCCCTGTCCTGCGCTGCTCCACCTCGCAGAATCACCGCCAAAAGAGACAGAGACTATTCACCACCACGACAATACATGTTCAGCTGACTGTCCAATATATAATGGTTTACCCTACTGTAAAGCTGTTAGACTAACTGAATAAGAAACAATTTTATACTGTCAAATATTCCTCTTCACACAGTAACTTTAAGAGCTTTATTTTTGCATAAAAAGGAGTTTTAGTTTACAAGATATTTCACCGTCCAGACTCTCTACTTTTGTGTCACAGCACACAATGACAGCTCTATGCTGAATGATGATGATCTGTAATATATCAACATATTGCTCGCCTCCCCCTAAAAAGAAAAAAAACTATAAGCATTTAATCTATTTATGTACGATCTCACGGTACACCACGCTGAATCACAAAAATAGAGCTCTGAAGTTCTCCTTTCTGTGTACTGTGTTGAACATGTCTAAGTTGAGAAGATATACAGATATGGGTAATGAAAACGATGAGAAGTCGCGAATCTCAGCTCACCATCCTTGCTTCAGAGGACAAGGATTCCACCTGCTCCAAGCAGCAGCAACATTACCTTTCTTTAACATGTACAGTATAAATATTGACTGCATCTGTGACAGAACAAGATGTGTCAAATGTCAATTTGTACTTTGTTGATGGATAAACATTACATGGTGCTATCGTACTGCAATGTACATCTGTTAACCTGCAGAATCATTTATTTCTCACCTTTTCCATACAGTGAAATGCAGTTGAAAACATGACTAAAAATAAAAGTTTTAAAACGATAAACTTGTAAAGTATAAAATAAAATAAAAAAAAAAAACAGACGAGAGGGTTTCAACTGTGCCAAAGATTATTTTGACATAAATTGTTGGCTATAACCGCCATCCAAA